TCTTTTTTTGGCTGGAAATAGGGAACAACATTTGCACGGCAAACATTTTAATTGAAGCTTATATACTTCTTACATCTCTAAGTTCTATACATCTAGACAACAATAATACCCTCAAATCTGTACTTTTGTGAATTCCGATTTGGGCAAACCCAATTCTTAGTGAGAAATGGCTTCCAAAGAATGCAACTATTGTAAAATTCTGTGCAAAAGTAGATTGTACAGTATTAGGAAAAAATTGACAAAATTCATGCAAATTTTTATGCAGACTTTCTTGAAAATTCATAAACAGGGAAGGAAACCAGTCAAAATAACCTTACGACTGGGGTGATAAACAGCTAAGCTAAATGGAAGTTGTCAGATCCTCTCATTATGACTCTATGACTCTTTTTCAAAGCCTTTGGGAGTAAATTAAAATACAAACTTATTTTTCAAATACGAATGAAATGGAAATAACAAAGGTCTAGCACACCAACCAAATCATGGTTAAATAAGAAATCTGAACCATGTGAAGGCCATTTAATATACAAATTGCAGGTCATGGATGGGTCATTGTTGCAAAGAGATGGTCAAGATGGAAATTCCATGAGGCTTTGCCGGCAAGGATTTCTTGATTTTGGCACACAACAATCTTGAATCATTAGTACAATGCGCTTGAGATAATGGCCCTAGCAGCACGCATGCATGCATCTAGGCACACATACACAAAGAACATTCAGAGCAGCAACCAGTGAATCAAATTAAAGCAAAGCTGCAGAGTAAGGGAGACACACCAGTGACTTTAAGGTATCTTTCTCCATTTGACAATGGATTTCATCAGGGAAGAACAGGTGTGTTCCACACAGGCAATTTGTTCAGCCTACTGGGAGTTTTTACACACGGATGCCTTCAAATCAGGGCTGCTGCTTAGACATGACGTGAGGCTGGTGGGGAGAAGAGAAGTGCAGCCATCTTTCCTTCCTTGCCCCCTGCAATCACCTCATTTTGTAATACAGGTAGTCCTCGACTTACAACCATTCGTTTAGGAATTGTTTGAAGTTGCTATGGCAATGAAAAAAAGCGACCTATGGCCATTTTCCCACACTCACGACCGTTGCAGTGTCCCCATGGTCACGTGATCAAAATCCAAAGGCTTGGCATTTTGAATTTTCACCTTCTGAACAAGCAAAATCAACAGGGAAGCCAGATTCACGTACCAACCTTGTTACTAACTGAACAACCGCAGTGATTCCCTTAACACAGGGCTGTCAAACTCCCGGCTTTCGGGGCGGATGCATCACGCGCTGGCCACGCCTACACCCAGTTTAGCAAAGGGGGGGGGGAGTCCCAATATGTCACGTGACGCTGCCATGATGACATGAGTTTGACACCCCTGCCTTAACTATGGCAAGAGAGATCGTAAAATAGGGCAAAACTCAAGTAGCTACTTTGCAATTTCCATTGCTTAGTAATGGAAATTTTGGGGGTCAATGATGGTCATAAGTTGAGGACTGCTTGTATATTAAAAGCTGGTATGTTTTCAAGTGCCAGCTATTATAATAGCAATCATGTATCTGTTATTGCTTGATTTCAAGTAAGATGGTTAATACTATCAAAATGCCCGAAGAGATAATGGCTTCAGTCCCAGGAGCTCCCACCCTATCGGATAACTGGTACAATCCCAGGACCTTTCTCCCTCTCCCTCCCCCTTAACTCTTAGATCTGCCCATTTAATTTTAAAAGCATCACTGCTACTTCAGGAAAGTATGATGAAATCTACACTGCTATAAGGGTGGTCAGTAGAAGCACATATGAAACAGAACGCATGTCTGGTTCTATGCATGGAACTAATATATTCTCCCTTGGAAAGCAGGTTGCCTGAGCAGGAAGGAGGTGATGTTGAATTTTGATTGCATCTCTAAAGGACGCCTGTTTCCGAAAGGGTTAAGAATTGCTAATAAGGAGACAGATTGCCTGGAGGGGGCGGGGAGGAGAGAAGGCAATTAATCCAATTAGTAGGTTGGAGAAATTCAGAATTTCACATTTACTCATCATATAGGCCTTGTGCAGATATACAATTGTGAACTTTTTGACGATTGTGAACTTTGGGGCTTAACTCCAGCAGAAGTAGAATCACAATCCAAACAAGCTTAATTTGGCTTAGCAATAACTATGGTTTGGTTGCCTTCACTTTCAATGTATCATGGAAACGATGGTTAGCTTGCTTTGCCTAGTTTGTCACTCGTTGCTCTGCCTAGTTTGTTGCTCACACGACAGGATGAATATGCAAAGATACAGATTTGTTAGCTCTTAGTCAGAGAGGGAGAGAAGCCACAGTACCTTACCTGTGGGGATTTTTTTTTAAAAAAAGTATGTTTAACTATGGTTGGCATTCATTGGCATATCTGCACAAAATGATATTTGGTTGGAAGTTGACTTTCCAAGATCAATGAACCTATCTATTGTTGTTTTACCCATGCTATGTAAATGAACACTCTCTGGATGTTTCAACACACAATGGTTTTAACAAATCCTGGCTTAGCATTGTCAGGTCACAGCCAATGTAATCAGTGACGGGATTCAATTTTTTTTTTTAACTAAAGGTTCTGTGGGCGTGGCTTGGTGGACGTGGCAGGGGAAGGTTACTGCAAAATCCCCATTCCCTCCACACCCCACTAACCTGCTTTCCAGATCCGTTCTCCTGTGCAGGGCAACCAAAGAGACCCAGCTGATCAGCTGGGACTCGGGAGGCAGAGAAGAGATGGAGGTGGGGCCAGTCAGAGTTGGTATTTGCCGGTTCTCCGAATTACTCAAAATTTCCGCTACCGGTTCTCCAGAATTGATCAGAACCTGCTGAATACCACCTCCGAATGTAATCCTAGGCCCGAGCAAAACCCAACATTTCAGGAACCTTGGCCAGAACACCCTCACAGCTCCTGGTTCAGAGGATTAAGTTCCAGAAAAAAATGCCAGGCCACCCCAGGGCAGCGAGATTGGCATTCAGGAGAAAGATGCCATATTAATTTGTGTACCCCCCCTACCCTCCAAATGGCCAACATGTCTCAGCTGGTGGCCAAACACGAATATGTGGATATTTCAGGGTCTGGTTCAAGGAACACAAAGGGTTTCCCCTCCTCACTATGGCATTTGGAAGAAAAATGGGATTTTCAAAACCAATCATTCTATTAAGTATATAATTCCTAGCAAGGGAACAGAGGAGGAAAGATAACATGTTGAGATTAAAGGCAGTTGGGAGGGCGGAGCGGAAGACTGTGAACCGATTAAAAACCATTGTCCAGGATGCACACCAGTTACAATGCTGGCTAGATTAGCAAGCTTAGCCCTGAAAAGGAGTTAATTGCTAGAAATAATTACCTGAAAGAGATCTACTCAGGCGGTTTGGTTTCCTTCCTAACAGTTAAATAATTCCCATCAACCTTTCTGCTTTTCTCCCTTACTGTTGATTAATTCACAAAATACTCTCAGGAGGTGTGGGGGAGGGGGGCCTCTTAAGAGTACCTCAAAAATGTGAGCCATGTGGCCTTACATGTACAAGCACCCCTTCCCAAGGAGAATGTTTCTAGCCCAGGGTTGAAATGAGGGATCCTTGGTGGTGTATGAACTTGTTTTCCTGCAGACGTTTCATTACCTAAACTTGGTACAGGTAATCCTCTACTTGCAACCGTTTGTTTAGTGACTGTTCGAAGTTACAGCAGCACTGAAAAATGTGGCTTATGACCATTTTTCATGGTTACGACCATTGCAGCATTACGATGGTTGCAGTGTCCTAGGCCAGTGGTGGCTAACCTTTTTGGGCTCCCTGTGCCAAAAATTGTGCACGCGCTTGCATGCTCACGCTTGCGTGCCAGCACCCAGAAGGCAATGTGCCCCCCATGCCCCCTACACATGCGTGTGTAATCCCCACCCACCCACCCCGACGCCCCCTTACCTGCACTGCACCTTACAGCTGATTTTCAGCGGGTTTGAGGCCTTTTTCGGCCTTCCAAAGGCTCGAGGAAGGCTTCTGCAGGCTTTGCAGGCCGAAAACTAGCCCCATTTCGCCACTTCCGGTATTTTCGGTATTTTCGGAAAAACAGGAAGTGACAAAACACGGCTAGTTTTCGGCCTGCAAAGCCTGCAGAAGCCTTCCTCAAGACTTTGGGAGGCCGAAAAAGGCCTCAAACCCGCCGAAAATCAGCTATGAGGCAAGTTTGTCTGCAGCTCGCATGCTGGCACAAATGGCTCGGCGTGCCACCTGTGGCACGCGTGCCATAGGTTCACCATCACAGTCCTAGGGTCATGCGATCCCATTTTGCGACCTTCTGAGGAGCAAAGTCAACGGGGAAGTCGGATTCCCTTAACAACCGTCTTACTAACTAAACACCTGCAATGATTCATTTAACAACTTTGGCAAGAAAATTCGTAAAATGGGGCAAAACTCACAACAAATGTCTCACTTAGCAACAGAAATGTTGGGCTCAATTGGGATCACAATTCGAGGACTTATCTGTAACATCATCACTGTTGATGATACCTAGTCTGGGTAGTGAAGCATTTTCAAGAAAACAACCAGATAGCATCAAGGACCCCCCTCACCTTCAGAAATGGCCTTGCAAGAAAAGCGATGCTGCTGGTTCCATTGAACTGGGGGCAGCCAGGAAAATTCACTGTTGTTAAATAGCCCTTCAATAATTCCTATGAGGGTAAGGATTCTCTTGATTCACAGCAAGATCGACTTTTCCCATTTTTCCCCATACACAACACAAGGGAATCAGGAAATGGTGATGGCCGAGGGACAAGCCAAACAAAGACTAACAACCAAGATGGTCAAGAAAGTCTCATCAGAAAGGCGGATGAGATGACCAGGAAAAAAGCAGGGTAAATTCTGCTCTCATCCATCTTTCTAACTAAAATCAAACAGGACCAGTCCCCATCAGATACAGCATTCATCTTGCAGGTGGCTAGGGCTCCAGAACGAGCCGAATTTTACAATGTCAAGACTTGCTCCAAGCAAGGACACTTACCTACTATTCCAGACCCCAGGAATGATGACGAAGATATGCTGTTATGGGATGGCAGGTCCCTGTGTTCACTGTAGTGTGAACCTTCGCCATAACCCTGCTATAAGGAGAAGAAAAAAAGTAGTATCCATATGCACAAAGTCATGAAGCACATAGCTACCCACACCTTTCTCAATCAACAAGACTAAGGGCATCCCAAAACCATTTCCAAATCAAAGTACACCTTTAAAATTCAATTTAATCGGCTCTTATAAAGGCCAGCTATCTTGGGATGGATTAAACCAACTCGAAATGACTATAGAACTGTTTCTATATGCTCTCATTTTCCAAGCTTTTTTCTTCTTCTGTTCAATCATACCCGATTCTCAAAGACTGCCTGGACAAGTCCCTGAAGTTTTATTGGCAAGGTTTTTCCAGAAGTGTTTTGCCATTGCCTCTTTCCTAGGCTGAGGGAGAATGACTAGCCCAAGGTCAACCAGTTGGCTTCTTGCCCAAGTTGCGGGAGTAGGATTCACGGTCTCCCGGTTTCTATCCTGATGCCTTAAGCACTACACCAGACTGGGTTTTGGCTGAAGTGGTACAGAAGTTAAATAAGTAAACATACTTCCTAAGGAAAGGGAAGTGAGGAAATCACAAACTTCAGCACATACAAAAAGTCTCCATCATCATAAAAGATGAAATCCACCTTAGAGTTAGACGGGTGGCTTCTAAATTCCACAACTAAATAAATATGGTACTCTCCGGAACAGGGAAGGTTCCGGAGAAACAATTACCTTCACCATCGTGGGAAAGAAAATAAATCAAATGTAGTTTTAAAAAAAAGGATGATTAATGTTGGAAGGAAGACAGATCAGACTCAAAAACAAGATGACCAAACAATTAACTCAGATAGCTAAACAGAACCTTAATCTCATGGACAATCTCTTGGTGTATATCAGCCATTCCATTAGGCTCCATGGAATAAACCTCAACTTTGTTAAAATACCAATTCCTTCAGGCTCTCAACTACTTTCTATTCCAGCAGATCATTTTATGATCTGAACTTAAGTTGAACTGCGATAGAACTTTAAGAATTGATTCTTAAGCCTGTCATTTCCTCTTCTTTCTTCATCCCTTTTTCTTTCTGAATTAGACTGTAAGCTGAATAAGCAGCACTGATTCTACATTATTGTATGCAAGCAGGTCTGGGAGCTTTAGGAGCTAAAGAGTAAGGTAAAAATTATCTTTCAAACATGATCCGGCTAAGCATATACAAGAAAAAAAAATGTTGCTTTCACCTCCTGCTTATGTAATGGTTTTCTATAGGACATGTGACAGGATGCTCTCAGAAAATAATTCCTTAAAATTACAGATCTGATTCCTCAAAATTAAATAGCTCAGGAAGAATTAAGGTGAGAGGAAAACTACTTTTCAGAAAAAAAGGGAATTAGAGTAGTTCACTTTCCCATCTCAAAAGACACGTGTGTGGACAAATCCCCAAATATCCATTTGGATCTTGCAGTGAACAGATCTTGCAGTGATCCTTACCCTGACTTGGTCAAACGTGGAGTTGTTCTGATCTCCTGTTGCCCAAGAACCTGAGGTCGGTCGCTCATCCAAACCTTCCGGGGAAAGAGGGGGAGAAAAAAACAAAGATTACTTTAATCTACAGGTTCTTCAAAAGACAGACTCTCTCAAAGTTAACTCTTCCTTTCACAAACATAAAAATATGTGGATGAAAATACCAAACCAACACTGACTTTTCCTGTTTTGCAAATTTTCCACACAGCTTCAGCTTCAAAGGAGCCTCAGTTGATATGTTTGGCAAAATTGTGAGAGGGCAAATTTTATTTAATATGTGTAACACCTCAAGGGAGTTGTAATACACATAACTTACCTTCCCCAAAGCTGCTTTGGCCAGAGGAACATTACAGGAAAGGAGGTGGGAAAATTCAGTATGCTCAAATTATGAAGGGGGGGTGAGTGGGAAGGAGACAGTTAATGGAATCAATTTTTTTTCTTTCTTTCTAATTGGTCCACCATTTATGTTCTAGAACAGGGGTCTCCAAACTTGGCAACTTTAAGACTTGTGGACTTCAACTCCCAGAATTCCCAAGGCTGGCTGAGGAATTCTGGAAGTTGAAGTCCACAAGTTCTAAAGTTGCCAAATTTGGAGACCCCATTCTAGAAGAAGCCGTAAGTGGTCCAGAATGCCACCTTGCCATTGCCACCTTGCCACGGCCATGTCACCACAGCTATCTCAGCATGGCCACCTTGGTGCCACCATCTCAGCACGGGACAAATCACCATGGGAAACTCTCCATGAGACAACTTGATGTGGCCTTACATGGCACCTCCCTTAGTCGACCACAACGTTGTAACTGGCCACTTCCAGCAGGCTGGCAATTTGTCCTGCAGAGATGGTAGCACCGAGGTAGCCATGCTCAGTGGCCATTGCGACATGGCCGCGGCAAGATGGCTGCACTGAGGTGGCCGTGCTGTGATGTCATAGATTCGTTATCATCAAGAAGGACTTTTCTCTTTTGTTGACATCTCCATCCCATTTCAGGACTGACTGAACTTTACCTGCTCCCAGATATGGAATGAGGACCCCAAAAAGCAAACCGCCGAAGTCTGAAGAAATGTTGTAGCAAAATAGACCTCTTTATTTCTCAACTACATAGAAATTTAATTCCTGGTGTTTGTTATGGAAGTAGCAGCACAGCTGCAGATTACAGACTCTGGGAAATGGTTATGGACATCTGCTTGGGAGAAGCTTGCTAGATCTCACTGTAGTATTATATACATTCATGAACACTATGAATTGTCCATTCCAACTGAAAATTCTGGGAATTTTAGCCCCGATGCATCTTGAGGCTGCCAAGTTGGGGAAGGTCCAACTCAAATACTGACAAAATACAAGAAGAATCAAGAATGTACTCCTGGCTTCCCTGCAAAGGAAGATGGCTTAAGATGAGCTAACCTCCTTTTGAAGAAGCTATTCCACTATTTTTACTCTCAGACTAGAGCAGCCCCTCCTTTCTCAAGCTGCCAAGTGTTTTTGTATGGGAGCAGGGTGAATTTTGCAGATAAATAAATATATATAAGCAAAGTCCCTACAAAATAGGATGGCAATTCTATGCTGGTCTCCTACCACTGAACAGCTTCAGGAATTTTTTAACAGGTCACAAGACTATTTTAGTCCTATTGTAGGAGATGACCAGGCTGAGCCCCAGGGAAGGAGGGGGGGGGCAAACGTGTTATCAGTCTCAAATCCCTTCATGCTCACAAGAGATCTAAGTCCAGCCCTCCTTGGATTCCACTGACTCTTACCTACCACCAATTTGCTTTAGTAGTTCAGATTCTTGTATAAAGCTTTAGCGTACAATAAACCTGTATATTCATTTGAACTGCCAGGATTTATTGATTTCCTGCACTTCACCTCTGCTTTGATATGATTGCAAATCAAACCATGTCTGGAACAAGACCGTCCCCTTCCACGTCCAAAATATTACGAGCAGGGAATGTTTTGTGGGTCCAATGGGTATTTTTTTGCTTCCAATAGGATCTTTCCACTCCTTGACTAATGCTGGAGTGAGAGATCTGGAAATCAGCCAAGACCAAGATGGCAAACCAGCTTCATTTGGAGACGGTGACCCTCTTAGAACGATTCCTTTAATTTCATCTTATGCTCAGATAGTAACTACAGCTCCATCATCGCAAGGAGGCTTTGAAGTCCAACTCTACTATGTTTGTATACGTGTATTTTTTAAAAGCATATTATTATGGGAAACACACCATCTTTTTCTCTCCTTCCCTCTCCCTACTGTTCATTTAACCAGAAATTTCTTTCAAAATTACATGCTTCCATTCCGAAGCCTTTTGTGTTAATCATTTCCCCGGAGAATTGGTGTTTAATTGCTGTCTAATTTGCATAATTATGCATATTAATCTCCACTCCTAATGAATATTCATAACTCTCATTTAGAGTTTGTTTTCTAATAAAAAATATTCCAATGTGATTACGTTGCAGGATTGAGGCTGGCGGTGGAAGTAAGATGCTTAACGCAACTACGAAAAACATTAAAGTGCTACCTATTCTTTTCAAGGCTGGCAATACTGCAAATTTTGCTCTGCTAATGCTTTACTTCTTCCTTTCCATCCGGCTCTTTCAGAATAATATCAGCTGTGTTTTCTGGAACTGGTGGGGGTGATTAAACTGAAGTATGTTTCAGGCAGATACACACAGAATTAAAAAGGTAGGAAAGGTGATAAGTGTTCAAAGACTGTTTGCAAAATTAACAGAATAAACAAGTTGGAAGAGACCTTGAAGGTCTTCTAGTCCAACCCCCCTATTGAAGAAAAAGACACAATTAATCAATGGAACAACTTGCCTCCAGAAGTTGTGGATGCTCCAATTGGAGGTTTTTAAGAATAGATTGGACAACCATTTGTCTGAAATGGTATAGGGTTGGACTAGAAGATTTCCAAGGTCCCTTCCAACTCTTACCAGAAGAACAATTCTGCTATTCTAACCCTATACCATTCCAGACAATCTCTTCTTAAAACCCTCCACAACTTCTGGAGGCAAGCCATATTCCATTGATTAATTGTTCTGTCAAGAAATTTCTCTTTATTTCTAGGTTGGTTTTCTTCTTGATTAGTTTCTATCCGTTGCTTCTGGTTCTGCCTTCAGGTGCTTTGGAGAATAAGCGGACCCCCTCTTCTTTGTAGCAGCCCCTCAAATAGCACTTAGACATATATCGCTTCATAATGCTTTTACAGCCTCTCTAAGTGGTTCACAGAATCAGCATATTGCTGCCAACAATCTGGGTCCTCATTTTACCCACCTCAGAAGGATGGAAGGCTGAGTCAACCTTGAGCCAGGGAGAATCGAACTGCCAAACTGCTGGCAATCAGAAGTCAGTAGAACTAGCTTGCAATAGTGCATTCTAACCACTGCGTCACCACAGCTTTTCTAAATATTGGAAGACAGTTTTTGTGCTTTCCTTAGTCCTTTTCACTGAACTAGACATTACCCAATTTCTTATTTTTCCACCTGTCCAGGTCTTGTTAGCAAAAGAACCTCATCTCAAGGAATTGCAAACCTCACAGCACAGAGTAAAATACAGAAATAATTGTAATAAGAAAGGAAGAAGGAGTTGGGATCCATGTCCCTTTCTGGAAGGGACCAATAATAAGCCACTGGGTTCAAATGAAGTACCCAAGTTTAAAAACAATGTAATTTAAATATGTAAGGAAACATAAGAGGCAATGTTTAAAAAGAATACAAAAACCCATTTTTATATTCATTTAATGCTTTTTTAAAGTGAGAAGTACTTAGAAAAGAGAAGGGCCTGATTCTTGTTTTTGAATCAGGGAGATGCTTTATATGAATCCAAGTCAAGGTGATATGATTGACTTTCCCACCTTGGAAATGTGTGTTTGTAAAATATATATGCTTCCCATCTCAATATCCAAATACCAACCTCTGCAAAACATAAAGTTAATTGAAAATAGGCCAATGACCAGGTAATATGGGGGCATATCTAGTAAAGGCCAAGGTTTCCACACTCCCACTGAATTTTCCACAATGGATAATTCTTCTTTTTGTTTGACTAATATAAATCAGGGGTGTCACACTGAAGGCCCCTGGGCTAGATCCGGCTTAGATCTGGCCTGCACAACTGCCCTGGAAACAGCAAAGGACCGGCCCACGGTGCCTCTGCCAGCGAAAACGGAGCTCGGGAGGGCCGCCCACGGCCTTCCCAGACTCTGTTTTCAGCCACTGTTCTGACCCAAACCTTGTTCCAAGTAAACAAACACCAGAGATAAAAGCAAAACCTTTTAATGCTTCTCTACAAATTCCATTAATTCACGGTTAAAATGGTATTAAAACTAATTGTCTCTGATAAGAACGAGCCTTGCCAAGGTTGTGCAAGGCTGCCAAAACCACTAGATTAAATTGCCAAGAAATATTCCAAGCAAAAAGTCTTCAAACACAAACCAAGATAGTCTGAACTTCCACAAGGCTTGAAGTGCAAGAACTTCTTTGCTTCCTGCAAAGAATACCGGTCTCTCAGGCTGGCTTTTATCTCTTAAGGGAGAGGCCATTATCTTGCAGCCTTACTCCCGAGTCGCCCGTGCTGCTGTAGCTGCCCTTTCCTACAAGCAGCCCTGCACTCATCCGCACTGGGCACAGGCTCCTCGGGGGCCTCTTCATCACTGCTGCCAGCCTCCACAATCTCCGAAGGCATCACTCCACTTCCTGATGGTCCTGGCCCCATCCCTACATCACACGTAGGTCCCTCATCTGAGTCCTCACTCTCCGAGACCTCAGCCATCTGCACCTGCTGCCGGCAAACCACAACAGCCGCAACGGCCTCCTGCTGCAGCCCTCTGCCAGTGAAAATGGAGTGTGGGGTGGGATGTGAGCTAGCCACGCCCACCCCAGCTCCCGAAGTCAAACAGAACCCTGATGCGGCCCTCCATGAAATCCAGTTTGACACCCTTTCTATAAATCAGGGGTCCCCAACCACCGGGCCCTGGACCGGTATCGGTCCGTGGAACATTTCCTACTGGGCCGCCGGTTTGCTGGGCGCCACCATCTTGTTTGACGAGA